CCACACTGGTTTTCGGTCACGGCAGCCAGTCTTAACGAAGACTAGGATAAAGGATTATAATGCTAGTGTTCGCAAGCATAGGTGCATTCCTCACACTTATAGTCCGATGAGATGGTAATCCGATACGGCTGGAAAGAGATCGGGTGCATAATCTACGGCTTTACGTGCTGCCTGAGGCACAGGGGTTTACCGTTACCGTTATCGTTATAGCCTGCTAAAGTTCACTGCTGAACATTGGCAAGCGGGTTGGCAACCGCAGTTCTTTTTTATTCGTAACTAAGAAGATGCTGCTGCCCATCCCCTGGTTTGTTTCCCTCTGTCAACTCTTACGACACCCACGGGATAATTTGGGGTCGTGGAAAGTCTTACACCGGCGGTACAAGGTAAAAAGGGGTTTAACACCGTCAAACTCTTGACTCTGGACTACTACTGTTATTGCTATATATCTGATTGTACAAGCGTTTTTCTTACTGATATGACTTAGAAACTTTAAAGGAGAGCCAATTCCTTCCTTAAGAAACGGCAAGGCACCTGCGATTGGAGGTGAGCCGCATGGTCGCTTGTCCTCAATTATAATGAATTTGCTCGTACTTTTGAACAGATTTTTCATTGTCGCCAAGCTTGGTGGGTGGTTTAGCGATCGTACTACCAAACGTCTCAACTTTATCGTTACTTTCTGACTTTTATTTCTTTTGTAACAGAGGGTAACAAAGGAGCACATAGGTGTGATGGTAAGTGGTTGCTGTGGCCAATAAATCATCATCAATCAGATCGACATCTATCCTCGATTACGAATCAAAATGCAGATGCGTTGTCACACGGGAGGACTAATATGGAATGCCTGGTTTCCAGTAAAATGGGTCTCCGGTTCTCTACACTCACCATACGAAACACAGCATCGTTAAGCTGCTATTTGACGCTGTTATCTGTGAGATCATGGTCCTTCCCCGATTGAGACGACACATTCGTGCTACAACTATACTACTATATAACTGCAGCATGGCTCCATCGGATGCTATAAGATTTTTCTGGCTTTTTCCATATTCGTATCTTATTGAATAAAACTATTAGATTTTGTTTAATTACTTTAATTTATTTGGATTTGGTTACTTTTTTTAAAGTGTGATTATCGTATCTTATGACAATCACAGTGAAGATACGAGATAATGGATTTTCTTACGTCGCAATGACACGACAAGAAACTCATACTTTATCGAGTATAATGATATGATGATTTCTTAAATTTACGCGAACACTACACATTGAATAAAACTATTACTTACGGATTTTATCGCGTTTAATTACTTTAATTTATTTTTCCTACTAAGTATGATACGCGAGGCTATTGAAATTGAAAAAAACATCCAAATTTCAATAAAGAAGATGGATGGGTGCTGCCATCTGCTTGGGATCCTATAAATAACAAAATTAAATCCAAACCCAAGCATACCACTGCAAGACTTCATGATACTTTAAGCTCGTTTTGCGTAAATCGCACCAAAAATTAATATTCAAAAACTGAAGGTAGCCTGACTAACTATGACATTAGGACGTCAAACATCTCGGTCCCCTCCGTGACCATGGGTGCTGTAAAGCACCCGAAACGTCGGGATAGCAAAAATAAATTAAAGTAATTAAACGCGATAAAATCCGTAAATAATAGTTTTATACAATGGCATGAATACGGTCATGGCATAATTCATTTATAAACTTTATTGAGAATTAAAGTCCGAACGAACTCTCGTTATCAATTTACTAATGAAGCTACAAAATTTTCATATAATATCCATATCATGCGCCGACTGAAATCTTCAAATATAGTACAATACCAGGATAATCCAAAAAGTTTTTAGAGTAGGCCAAGGTAACATGGAAAAAATAATTTATTTTTGAATTTAAAACTTTTTGGTGACCTGACTAGGCTGGACCATACCCAGAGCATCTAAAGGACCACATTAGCGAAACGAATAACCTTCATGGTTTATTACGACTTTAATTGTGATCGTGATCAACAAGGTTATGATAGTTTAAATCTCACTGTTGATATGCTGAGTTGATATCAAACAACATAAAGATTTATTAAACTTAAGAGTAGCCAGAACTTATTTAATCGAAATATCATGCCAAGAATTAAGTTTTAAAGATTTAAAATTATTTAAGTCTAGAAAATAAAATTAAATATTAATTTCTCATGCCCTAAATTTTATCTTTCTAGAAAAAAATTATAGGGTGATTTGAAGCTAGGAATACGGAACATTAATTAAGTAAACTTAGCATCCAAACTTGGCCCAGTGCCAAGCCAAGGTCCTTTATTATAATGCTCATGCTGCACATGTAGTTAACACAGTGCTAGACCAAGTTTAACATTAGTTATGAAGGCAAACTGAATATAAATTATACTACACGGCAGTACTGCAAAAATAATGGCCTCTTGCTTAGTCTCACTTTATCTTCACTTAGTTAATATACTGACTTACAGAAAGGTGAACTGGAGTTCAGAAAACTAATAAATATAACTTAAGTTAAGAAAAAGTGTGAAAACTTTATTAAAACTCAGTTGGCGGTTTTTACTAAAAAGTACGACGTAGCTTCACAATAACTTTAACGAGTAACGATTACTTATCATCTAGGTTAAAATCTTCCTCATTTTTTTGATAAACATTCCATTCTTACAATATTTTTAAATCAAGAGAGATTTTCTAATAAATGCAGCGACCACGTACCTAAGCCTTATTTAATTTAGGAACGGTTCAGTAACTTTCTAATACATACATCAATAATCACCTAGATCTCGATATAATGATGACGGCAGAGTCATAGAGAGATATCTGACAATGCTTGGTCCTGTGTAGATAAATTCCAGTATGTTTAGGAAACCATCCTATTGCGCATGAATTTGTGTTTTCGCAAACACACACAAATACTCGTAGGACAAATTTGTAAATATAATATTATGGCTTAAGGCTATTTTATTTTAGGGATTTAGGTAAAATGGCGCCAATCGAACACAAGACCCGTATTTGTTTATAATAGGCAGCACAAAATGTATTATTTTAAACTATGGCACTAATTTTATATAAAGTTGTTCTCTTATGGTCTTAAGGAATATAATCTTCATCATAATAATATAATCAATCATTTATGTTACTATAGTATAAATTATGAGTTAATTTGTTTTTCACTCTGCATTGCAGAACGATAGCAAAAATACATTCCTTTGAGTATAATTAAAAATAGCAGAAAGAAATTACCAAGCACTCATTCGTTTCAAGATTCAATTAAAATCATTAAAATAAGGTACTGTATGATTATCATGGTGATTTCATTCAAAAACCTTCGAAGTGATCATTTCACATTTACTAACAATTCCATTTTTCAATAAACAATATATCCATTTTCAAATAAATATAATATAAAATATATGTAGACTATTCAATATTTTTAAAGTGTGGTAAAGAAATAAAAACAACAACAAAACCCTTAACGACTATGTTTCTAAAACTGGGAATGCTGGCAAGAAATTGCTCAATTTTGGAACCTACTATACGTGGTAGAGACATGCTACATCTTTAAATGGCTGTAACATGAATGGATCGGCTCGATCGAAGTAGAGCTCTCACAGCATTGGTCGATGATAGATCTAAATGTCTATGGTCCATAGCATCCGCTTACTATCAGGGGGACTATGTGCATGTTTGTCACCCTGCTACTATAAAAGAAAAAATTTTGAAACCAATGAAGCCACACACGTTCTTGATCTTTCTCGTTTGTTCCCGGTAACAGTTAAGGATAGTCATTACAATTTTAAACTTTTTCGGGTTTCCTCCAGCCATGTAAAAATCTAAATGGTCTTCTTAATACCATTATATGAACGAACGAACTATTAAAAATAATTAAATGAAAAAAAATTGATTGACCCTGAAGGGCATCGCTGGAACTTCTCGCTAATTTCAAATGCAAAGTGCTCCAAAATTCACCAAATTGCACGTACTCACGCAATCACGCATGCACGCACGCACGCACACGTGCACGAGCACGCGCACGCGCACGCGCACGCACACGCACACGCACACGCACACGCACAGGCAAGCACGCACGCACGTTCGCCCTCACGCATGCACGCGCACGCGCATGCACACGCACACACACCGTCGAAAAATTGTCAGGGTAGCTTTCTGTAACCTCAAAACGTCAAGATTTGATGAAAACTCAATTTTCTAACAACGGGGTAGAAACAAAACCTCCCCAATTTTTGAAATTTTTTTATTTTCTTAGCGGGAAGTTATAAAATAACAATTACGGTTTCAGTTAATTATCCAGTAAATAAGCAATAAAAATCAACTATTTTTTACCTGGTAGAGCCATGCTGCAGCTATATTATGGTTGCAACACGAATGGATCGGCTCGATCAGGGTAGTACCATACTCTCACAGAATACCGGCATCAGATAGCAGCTCAATGCTGTGTTTCGTATGATGAGTGTAGAGAACCGGAGACCCTTTTTACTAGAAACGAGCCATTCCATCTTAGTCCTCAGGGGTGGCATCGCATCTGCATTTTGATCCTTAATCGAGGATAAATGTAAATGTTTATGGACTACAGCATCCACTTACCATCAGGTGGACTGTGTGCTTGTTTGCCACCCTTATTCTATAAAAAACATGCAATGGCAGTATAAGCCACTATATATACCACTACCATATGTCGTCCCGTGAGTGTCGTAAGAAGCGACGGAGGGAAACTGAAGCAGAAGCAGTAACATCTTCGTGATAATAATTTAAAATAAAAACAATCTACAGTTGCCACCAACACCACCTGCCAAGCATGGCAACTGTGGTAAAATCGTTATGAGGCAATATATGGGGGGAGGCTTCTTTTCGGCAGTGTATTTTTGTAGGATGTAAACAAATGGATGGATGAAATAAGGAATAAAGTAAAAAACATTAATAGAACTTCTAAAGTAACCTGTTATTATAATACTATTACTCACTAGTCATCAGTTGTACCGTGTGGCGGGTCCAGCACAAGAAATTGGAGCATTAGAAGCCAATCTAGACATCATATCAGCAACTTCTGCTGCTCGTTCTGCTTCAGGACAACTTGAGGCCTTAGTCAGACTTGCTCAAGAAGATAAACAAAAATGGCTTCAATATTTCGACCAAAAGGAAATGTCATACACCAAGATAGTCGACAATCTTGCTGAGTAAGTAACATATTGTTAATATTTTGCATAATCTTGAGTGATTAACGGTAGTAATTTCTTACTTTTACTAGAACTGGGACTTAAGATTCAAGAGGGGATAATATCTGTTACGTGACTTATGAAAATCTATTACCACAGAATTTCTAATAAGATTATCATTTTATAAATAATAATATGTAATATAATAATATAGTATAACGTGTGTCTATTACAACAATCGCCAGTCGAAAACATAGAATCCTAGCAATCAGTTTCTTACATCCTGATACTGCAACCCCAATAATGTAAACGGAGAAATTGATTTCGTTTATTCAAAATTTTAATCCATTAAGGAATCACAGATATTTTTTCTTCAATATAGCCCATGGTATTGTAGTTACAATAATTCAGCCAATGCCCGGTCTTTGGTCTGTCACATCTTGTCTTGAGACTTCTCGGTAAGAAAGGAGTTAAGCCTTAGATTAATTACATACATACGTTTTTTTTTATAGAATAGGCTGACAAACGAGCACACAGTCCACCTGATGGTAAGTGGTTGCTGCGGCCCATAGACATCTACATCTATCTTCCATTACAAATCAAAATGCAGATGCGTTGTCACCCATGAGGACTGAGATGGAATGCCTCATTTTCAGTAAAAAGGGTCTCCGGTTCTCTACACTCACCATACGAAATACAGCAGCATTAAGCTACTATTTCACGCTGGTATTCTGTGAGAGCGTGGTCCTTCCCTGGTCGAGCCGACCCATTCGTGCTACAACTATACTACTAATATAACTGCAGCATGGCTCTACCACGTAGAAAAATTTTAGCCATTGTTTGGTGACAATAAGGCTAAAAAATCACAGATTATTAATTAGGCCGACTTATTTGACACAAGCGGAATGAAATTATAAACATCCCATTACTAATGCTGTTGCAACTTGTTTTAATTAAGTAAATATTTATGTAAATAGCCACCCACGCTTCGTACATAAAATCAAAAGACTACATACATGTTATTAGGCTGACACGTCTATGTTTATGTTCCTATTCCTAGGTGAAATACAAATACGACACTCACAAAATGTAACAGTCGATTAAGATCGTAATTTTCTGGTTTAAAAAAATAGTTTACTTGTTTCAGTATTCTTTGGGATGAAGAAGCTAAAACTAAAAGGGCAAAGTATGCCGCAAAACGGAGTGGTAAATCGATTAGTTGGGACACTTACTACAGATACGAGGAGGTACATCAATATAACCTAAAACTTTATATGTATATATATATATATATATATATATATATATATATATATATATATTTATGACAAAGACATCCACTACGAAAGGATTTTTGAAAACTCAACCCCAAGAGGATGAAATGAGGTGTTACAGTTTGTATAAAACTCTTTTCTTACGGGGCGATCGACTGAAAACTTACTGAAAGTACTCAGAAAATGAAATAAATGAATATGTAGTATGGATTTTTGTAAACAACCCTTTATCAGAGTACCGACCAGGCAACACACACTGGGCTTTCAAACCAGTGCGTGTTACCAGTAATGACTTATGAATCTGAGTCGTGAAGCTCAAGGTCGCTTAGCGAACTATGAAGAGAGCTATGGCTATGCTCGGGGTTTCTCTTCGTGATAAACTTAGAAATGAGGATTTCATATTTGTATTGAGGAAAATTATTAAATGATTTTTGTAACCTAAAAAATTGATACAAATACGTTTGTATTAAAATAATGAAATAAGTATTTTTAAATCTTTCTAAAAATCTACCTGAAAGTCTTACAATGAGGATACAAAGTTTGCATGGAAAAAATGTTTTTACTTGCAAGGGGTAACCATAATATAATATTATAACAATTATGAATAACACATATTTTTAAAAACTACATAAGTCTGTACCTATAATTGTTAAACAAAACCTTAAGTTCTTAATTTTATCATTGGCTAGTATTAAGGCAATTTGCAACTGGCATCAGCGTTGAATTAAAAATCAATAATATGGCTGCTACTATCTATACTTTATAAATATTTAGGAGAACCTTTTAAGATTTTGCACGGCGTTAACTGGGTTATGTGGTATATGAAGTTTTAAAATGAATTATTCATACCAAATATTTAAGATATATTATTGTTCAACCCGGGCAAAGCCAGGGCGGGCCACTCATATAATATATTTCTTTTTTAATACATCTAATTTAAAAAATCCTTTCACATCTTACAGATCAACGATTACCTAGATGAATTAGGAGAGCAACACCCCAACCTGGTAACAGTTATTAACCCAGGGTTGAGTTACGAAGGTCGTCAGATCAAATACGTAAGGATCTCTACAACGCGATTCGAGGACTTGAGGAAACCCGTCATCATTATTGATGCAGCCGTCCACGCTCGCGAATGGATTACTCCTCCCGTCGCCTTATACATTATTAATCAACTGGTGGTTGATATTGTGGATAACGATCTGACAGAAAGACTCGACTGGGTGATTATTCCACTAGCAAATCCTGACGGCTACGAATACTCAATTACAGAGGTAATACGAAAACAGACATGTTTTTATCCTTTATTTCTCAGAACATGAATGATAAATGCAACAACTTACCTAACGTGACCTCGTGGTGGTGACTTAAGGAGAACATTACCCCTTCTCATTTTTCAAATGTTGATGTTAAAGTCGACAATTGTCAGTTGACAATTGTCAGAATCTGATCAATATCACATAAAAAAGTAAACATTACAAAATTCTGACGTCATCATCATAAACAAGTAGTATTAATGTAATCGAATTCATCAATGTAGTCGAATGCAATTATAGCCACATTATTAAAGATAACTCAAAAACTAGTGGTCAGATCTTGATCAAATTTATATGGAACTGCTTACATGAAAAGCACCAGCTTTTAAATAAAAAGGATCATCAAAATCTGTTTACCCAGAAAAGAGTTATGAAGTAACTCACATAAAAAACCGTCGAATTAAGAACCTCCTCCTTTTTTAAAGTCGTTTGAAAATGAGAATTAAATACGTAAGAGTTTGAGTCCTAGGACGTCTCGAGTCTCAAGCCCCAAACTTTTCCATTTTACTAGAGATGCGCTCGTAGAGTCGTATTATAAGCATTATTTACAAAAAACTGATGGTTCAAAATAATATCTTAATGATATATAAATAAACTTTAAAAAAAATTAAAACCATCTTCAAAAATAAGAGTTCAAATTCTAATATGTACTATGTAAATTTAACCAAGAGTTATGGCCCGATTTTTCTAAATTATTGAACCTTTTTATGTTATTATTTAGTGAGGTGGATTAAACCAATACACAAACTAAATTTAACACATAGAACGTTGTCTATTATATTTACATTAAAGTTTTATCCCTTTTTCCCAATCATTTCTGAAGGAGTTGTGAAGCAATAAGTACATTGCGCTGCACCAGTGCCTGATGGTAGACTTCAAATGTCCCCAAAATATTTAATTCCTCAGATATGCAGGTTTCTCGCGATAGTTTTGTTCGCCGCCGAGCACGTGATAATTCAACACATGAAATGGCAATTATCAATTTCATTAGAGTCGGCGAGGATCGAACGGGGTTGCTGCGAAATATACGACGAGCACGTAGGCACTAAGCTACCTGTTAATCTCTCCTGTTGATTCATATTAATTTCTCCGAGTGGGCTTATAAAATTAGGGTTTTTTGATGGTTATGGCATGAAATTTTCGAATGATTCAAACCTGCGATATTTAGATTCACAATGTTAATAATGCTCATGTACGTCGTTTTGACAAAAAGGCTATAAATACTGAATAATAACGTAAATACTCGTAACAGTCTTTTCTTGTCCATTTTGAGCGACATTTGTCACCGTTTTAGTAGGTTTTAGATCTTTAGTCCTGACAGATACGGGATAAAACTGCAGAAATGTTCAAAAGACCTTTAATATATCTTCGGAAATAGCCTATTCTATACGTGACTGATTCTATACACGAACAAGAAACGCGCCGTTGAGTAATGATATACTGTTTTAACACATTTCGTGAGCAAACTTTAGATTGAGACATTTGTAAACACTAAACATAATAAAAGAGTATAATGTTTTATTTAAAAGCCTACAGATAATATTTAGAACTATATTATGGCTTAATAAGATTTTTTATACATAAATGATTAACGTGTAAGGTCCGCACTTATAATAATGTTTTCCGGACCGTTTCACGGCGGCCGGTCTCAACGGAGAATAGGTAACCGCGCACAAAATAATTAAGGGGTATAATGCAGGAGTGCGTACGCAAGCACAAGTGCTCTCGCTATCCCCTTACTCTCACATCATCATTCATCATCATCATTACATCCCTTTACAAGTACACTGCTAAACATAGGCCTCCCCCAAAGTATGCCACAAAGCACGGTCCTGAGCCACCTGCATCCATCGACTTCCTGCATGTCTTACCAGGTCGTTACTCCATCTAGTGGGGGGTCGCCCTACACTTCGTCTACCGGTACGAGGCTGCCACTCGAGAACCTTTTTTCCCCAACGGTTGTCGGTTCTTCGAGCTATATGGCCGGCCCATTGCCACTTCAGCTTACTAATCCGTTGGGCTATGTCGGTCACTCTGGTTCTGCTGCGGATATCCTCATTTCTAAGTTTATCACGCAGAGAAACTCCGAGTATAGCCCTCTCCATAGCTCGCTGAGCGACTTTGAGTGTCCTAATACGGCCAGCAGTGAAGAACCACGTCTCAGATCCGTAAGTCATCACTGGCAACACGCACTGGTTATACACTTTAGTTTTCAGAGATTGAGGTATACCTGACGAGAAGATGTGTCGTAATTTCCCGAACGCTGCCCAGCCGAGTTGAATCCGTCGATTGACCTCTCGGTCGAAGTTGGACTTACCTAGTCGTACTATTTGTCCCAGGTAAACGTACTCGTCAACAACTTCGAGCATAGTGCTCCCAACAACTACCGGCATAGGTGTGACATGACATTAAATATGATCTTTGTTTTGTCCATGTTCATCTTAAGACCTATCCGTGGGGAGACACCATTGAGGTCATTGAGCAGTGCTAAGGTCCTCCAGCGATTCTGCCATAAGGACTATATCGTCGGCAAATCGAAGGTGAGTGATGAGTACTCACCATTGATGTTAATACCGTATCCTTTCCAGTCCAGTAGCTTGAAAACGTCTTCCAACGCAGCGGTGAAGAGTTTCGGGGATATAACATCACCCTGTCTTACACCTCTCTGCAGTTGGATAGGTTTCGAACTCTGGTTCTGTACTCGGATAGCCATCGTAGCCCTACTGTACAAACACTTCAGCACTTCGATATACCGACAGTCAACTTGGCACCGCTGAAGGGATTGTAGCACCGCCCAAATTTCGACGGAATCAAAGGCTTTCTCATAGTCCACATACGCCAGGCAAAGTGGCAGATTGTACTTTTCGGACTTCTGTACAATTTGCCGAAGGGTATGTATGTGGTCTATGGTACTAAAGCCTTTTCGGAAACCGGCTTGTTCGGGAGGCTGGAAGTCGTCGAGTCTGCGTGCGAGACGATTCGTAATGACTCTCGAAAACAGCACGTAGACGCGGCTCAGAAGAGATATCGGTCTGTAGTTCTTCAAAAGGGCGTTGTCACCTTTCTTAAAGAACAAGACCACCGCACTTCTGCTCCACGCCTCCGGAGTAGTTCCACCATGGAGGACGGAATTCGAGCCTCTGAAGGACTTCAGGTACCGGTTTTCCACCCGCTTTCAGAAGCTCCGCTGTAATTCCATCCTCGCCCGGGGACTTGCCGTTTTTAAGGTGCTGGAGAGCCATTCTAATCTCGCTCAGACTGACGTCCGGGATATCATCGGAATAGTGTCGGATAAGACCCGCTCTTGGATCGTTACTCACACTTGCGTGTGGCTCCAACGATGATGTGTACAGCTGCCCATAGAACCTCTCAATCTCACTCAGAATCTCAGGTGTCCCGGAAACGATGCTGCCACACTCAGTCTTCAGCTTTGACAGTTGGCTCTTACTGGCAAACAGATCTCTGGCAAAGACTTTGGAGCCCTGGTTCCGCTCAATCGCTTCTTCAATACGAGCAGTATTAAATTTGCGTAAGTCTCGCCGCATGCATTTGGAGATCTGTCTGTTCAGTTGCCTGTATGCTGTCAAATCTGTTAACGATTGCAGCCTCATCTACCGTCTAACAGCCATGAGATTAAGAGTGTGATCGGAGAGCTTTTGTGTTCTTCTGCGGCCGGTCTTGCAGAACTTAGCTCCAAAAACATGGACAGTTTCCACGAGCTTATCATTCATATCGTCCACTGCATTGCAATCTTGTAGGTACTGAAAGCGCCTTACGTAACTCGAGCTGAAAGTTTTCGGGATTCTGGATTAGAGCACGAGGGGGACGGAGCGTTGACTTCATTAGACGAGACCTCTCCAACTTAACATTTAGGTTCAGTGTGCCTCTAACCATTCGGTGATCGCTGCCAATTTTCATCCTTGCGATCACTGAGACATCACTGAACAGTTCGGTTCGACAAAAAATGAGAACACAATCTAATTTTTTGTCGAACCGTCGGGGCTCGACCAGGTCCACTTCCTGTGGGGCCGCTTCTGGAAGAAAGAGTTCATCATAAAGAGTCCCTCTTTCTCTATGAAGTCGGCCATGTTGTCCCCTTGGGTTCCGTTGCCCTATCCCAAATTTCCCTACCTTCAGCTCACCGTTCTTTTTTGTGCCCAGTTTTGCGTTGAAGTCTCCCATTAACACCGTATAGTGAGTTTTGGAGGAATGCATGGCTCTAGAAATATCCTCATACATTTCCTCCACCTCCTCATCGGGATGTTCCGACGTTGGCGTGTAAACCTGTATGACCTTCAGCGAATACCGTTTGGTGATTCTGAGTATCAGGTACGCGACCCTCGTCGACACACTCCCAACCTTTACAACGTTGTTGACGAGAGACTTGTGGACGATAAATCCGACACCTCCTTGGGACAGATGGTCGCCCTCCCGGTGATAGAACAGGTTGCCGGACTCGAGGATTACCGTGTCCTCCCCTTCTCTTCGGACCTCGGATAACCCAATTATATGCCAGCGCAACTTGTCTACCTCTTCTTCCAGCTCCAGTATCTTCTCGTCAGTCCTCAGGGTGCGTGCGTTATATGTTGCCAGGTCGAGTCGCCGTAGGTGGCAACCGAACCTCCACCGGAGATTCTTAGCACCCCCTGCCCCGCCGTTACCATGGTCGCCACCGTAGCCAGGAATAGCGGGGCCGCCGGGGACTGGGGGTGTCGTCGTTACTCTGGGGGGATATTGCCATTGTCCACGCTTGGCGAGCGGGTTGGCAACCGCAGTTTTTTATTATATCATTGCTGTTATCAGGAAGATGCTGCTGCCCATCTCCTGCCTGTCTCCCTCTGTCGCCTCTTACGACACCCAAGGGAAGATACACATATGGACACATATGGAGTGTAAAAGTAAGGAGTACAGACTGTGTTTTAAATAGTGTCCATAGAAAACCGTTAAATAAGGGTGGCGTCACTATAGCTACGGGCTAAATTTTAAAGAACGTACCGAAAAATATTAGTGGGATAGATGACTTTTTCATAAAATATTAGTGGGATAGATGAGTTTATATTTACGAAATAAAATTATTTCAGATTTTAGAGCTACTGAACAGTTTAGCAGCACACTTCAAATCGTCGACAACCACTAAGTTCATTTCATCCCAGTAGCTACTCCAGCGCTGTTGTGGAGAGTTTTGAACCATTATTTACTGCTTACAGATGACCACTTTTTCAACTATTCTACTATGGGAGTTGGTAATCCTTACTTCTACACTCCATACTCTTCATACGTCCGATGGGACGGCAATGACGGCCACCAGGGCGGCGCCACTTAAAATGAGGTGTAATATTTGACAGATTTCAAAGCGGGGAAGTTAATTTGTTCGAAAATTGGCTAATGTTTCTTTCTGCACCATTGGTTATATTTTATATTAATTAGAATAAAAATAAATAAATCAAACCACAGATATTCATAAAAAAAATAGAAAAATCAAAAAAATTGTTAACAATGTGCAAATAATTAAAGAAAAAACAACAGAGGCATTGTTTTGTGTATTAATATAATACTCTAGAAACTGATAAACTTTTATTAAAAACTAAATTATCAATTAAATGACAAGAGAAAACTTCACCTCAATGTCAACTAGAGACATCTGGTGAGCGTAAGATTATGTGCCCTCATTCGACACGACCTGTCGACCGGAACCGGAGAGAAATCAGGCTCCGGTTCAACGGCTTTACATGTTTTCCGAGGCACGGGATGAAATATCGCCATCTTCATGAGTCTGGGATGCAATTGAAACTTTCTTGACAGAAAAACGCTATAATACAAAATCAGGGACCACATGAACAGCAGGCGCCACTAGACCAACGTGTTTACGTTTCTACTTTATGTCCGGATTTTACTTTTTTTAACAAGGTCGGCTACGTATCTGCAACTCCCCTGATGTTGCGGTTGTTCGTGGGCGGCGGTAGTCACTTACCATCAAGTGAGCCGTATGCTCGTTGGCCCCCTCCTATATAAAAAATAACTTAGTATAGAAAGTAGTTACTCAGTGTATAAGTGCGCAGTGGGGCGTGGGGCGGCGCGTTCGACATGTGAGATGATCATATGACGTTTTATTTTATTGTCATTATTAATCCCAATACTTAAATGTAATCTTTCTTTCCTATTAAAGTAACATACATATTGTCAAGAACGCAATATTTCCTAGTTCAAACATTCTGTCAGTATATAAATATTCTATTTTTCCGTGAGGTGCAGATCCTGAGATCCATTATACAGAGTTATTCCTAGTTTAAACACCTGTACCCTGTTCAGCATTTGTATGGTTGTTTAAATTGTTTTTAATCGGATTGTGGAGACTAAACAAATTAATATAAAAAATAATGTATAGCTATTATATTGTTTAAGTTAGTTCCCTGGAATAATTTCGAAGCTACGAGTTAGAAAAGATTTTAACCGTGAATACATTTATTCATTCCTTTAAACTATAAGTTTAGCTATTCAACGTGTACCTACTTCGCTGCTATCTTTATGATATTAGAATTAACTTCTTCTCGACGCTTTCTAGTTTTGTGCCATAAAACGGTACGCGTATATCTAAAATAAATAATGCTTACGACAGAGAATTTATAAAATTATTTTAAAACTTTAATATTATAGTTCATTGCATTTGAAAATTAATTCGTCTTGAATTGTGTTTACGCATTTGACACTAATATTTATGTACCAGGACCGCATGTGGCGAAAGACGCGCTCCAAAGCACACGATGGTGCTGAAGAATGTCTAGGTGTAGACGGCAATCGCAACTTCGACCACTACTGGGGTACTAGTGAAGCCAGTGCAGACCCCTGCAGTCTTATTTATGAAGGACCAGCTCCCTTTTCCGAACCTGAAATCCGCGTTATTAGAGACGTGATCATGCAGAATTTGAACCGAGCTGTAATGTACATTTCGTTGCACAGTTTTGGTAGTATGTTCCTGTATGCGTGGGGTAATAATGGTGAGTCACAGTAATAAGAAATTAGTAATTTTAATATTTTATATTTTATAGAATCAACAACAACAAACAATCATAAGTGGAAGCTGAGGTCCATAGACACTACTATAGATATCCTCGCTAAACAGTCAAAATTTAGACGCGTATTCATCACTAAGGACTTAGATAAAAAGCCTCGTTACTAATAAATAAGACCTCCAGTTCTCTACAAGCACCATAAGCCATTTAGCATCAAGTTCTTCGTTCTACTAAAACTTTATCAACTTTAATAATGACTATTGTGTAAATAACGCATTTCCGATTCCAGGACAAGTTTCCCTTCATAAAGACACATCGGAAGGTGTGCCCAATATAAAAAAGGTGTTGCTTGACGTATGATATTTATGCGATTCTGATAAACTAACTTATGTGTTCCTGTTGCCTATAATATTGCCCAATATAGACACAGATACCGACATGTCTCTACAAGTGCCAGTTTTGCTAATTTTAGTACGAAATAGTATTATCGATGTTTCTAAATTAAAGCCCACGCGAGCGAAGCCTCGGATAAAAAGATAGCTATCTCATATATTTCCAGAATTTTTCTAGGAACAATAAAGACAGTTAGCTCTTCTTAACGTGGCCGCTATCACGCATAAATTATATTATCAATATCATATATATGTTTTTATTTACTTAACACACAGGTCATTCAAATTTGAATACGCTAAAGTAGGAATGCCGCGCTACATTGGTAGTAAACTTTATTATGACTTCTAAACAATTTGAAGTTATTTAAATTTACATTAATGAAAATATTTTCACAGGTACTTTGCCGTCAAATGGTCTAACCCTTCACGTGGCGGGTGTGCGAATGGCAACAGCTATTGAGGAATTGGCTCTCGAAAAGGCTGACCCTTACATCGTTGGCAATGCAGCTAATGTCCTATACTATTCCACTGGTACTTCCAGAGACTGGACTCGAGCAGTTGGCATTCCTCTCACTTACACACTCGAGCTACCCGGATACGAATACGGGTTCCTACTCCCGCCGGAATATATCGAACAAATAGTTAAAGAAACTTGGTACGGAATTGCTGCTGGCGCACACTACGTTTTATCTCTATACAACTAACTATTGTGAAAATGAATTAAATTTATTTTATACACTATGTATTATGTTCTTGGTGTCGATTAAATCTCTACTTAAAGAAACATTGGATGGGTTAAGTTTTCTGTTAAAACAACAATAATTTTATATAAAATGAGAAGAATTATGTATGACAGTTTTATTTTGCAATTGTATTACAATTTATTATTAGAACGAGCCGATATACATATTTATAGATTGGCTTATCATACAATAAATAAAAACTCGTTGAATAGGAATATAAATAATATTAATAACATATTCAAAATAGTTAATTTTATTCTTTCTACAGATTTTAAAAAATCAAACAAAAATAATTTTGTGTTTACCCATAACATCATGCCGATTTTTTTCAATCTCGCTTTCTTTTGCATGTAAATTTTATAATAATTTAATAAACAGCTTGGATTTTAAATTCAAACGTCCCTAACAAATCATTACCATCATCATCATCGTTCAAAACCATCACAATTCCACTACTGAACATAGGCATTCCCCCAAGGAATGCCACCACGGTCCTGAGTTACCTGCATGCATCAACTTCCTGAATATACTATACCTGTCTCTTTCTCTCGTTAGAGAGTTGTATATTCCATAAAAGTAACGCAGTTGAAAGTGCACAGGTCGAGGTTGTACGACACTATTGTCGTCTCTTTAGAATAAGTCAATATATTATTTTGACTTATTTAAAGCTGTTATGAACGTGTACATTTACCAACTGTTTAGGAAGAAACGAAAAGAACGTAACGTAAATTTTGACAAACGTAATATTTGACAGATTTCAAAGCGGGGAAGTTAATTTGTTCGAAAAATGAAGAAACGAAAAGAAACATTGGGGTTATTGATTTTGCAATAATCTAGTCCCGTCCCGGCCTGTGTAACAGGTGATTTCTTGGTTTTGATAACAGCGCCATCTATCGGGCCAAATTGAGTTTTTAAATCATCCAGGGACCCATTTAAATACACACAAAAATAAATCACCGAAATCGGTCAAGTCGTGTTTGAGTTTTAGCGACACAAACGGATAGCAATTGATATTATATAGAGACAATAATCTCCATTATACATTAGTAAATAATAATTGTGAGACTAGGCCTCAAAAACACAAGAATCGTTTTGGAGTATGGTTTGAGCCCCTGATCTTGATTCCATTCTGTTTTAATAGAAGAGCTTTTGTATCAGACGTTGGTATGATCAAATACTGTTAGGGAAACATTATTTTCATCATTATATAAAATTCAAATTAAAATAAAATAAACTATCGCAATGTAGAACTCAAATATAAATTTTTGTTTCTGGGTTTGGTGATTTACTCGTATTATATGGAAAAGCCTTCTTTTAACTATGAGCGACCGTGAATTTTAAGCATCGTTTGGATCTTGAAGTAAGTTCTGAACATTAAACGACCCTCTATTTAACGCTATCTTTTTATTGCGCCTAAGAACAAAATGAACTGTCTGTAATCCAATAATTCACTTAAGACAAGTTTTAGAAGTGTTAAACGAACGCCTTATATAATTACGTAACTTGATCCTCTTTGTTGAAATGCCTCAAGGGCGTAAATAAGTTGAACACACTTCAAACATTTGCGGTAAAGGGAAAATTTGCCAATTATCTTAACAATATTAACATATTTACTAAAGTTACTTATTATAAATTAGATAACTACATACTCTCTAAGTTAAAATACCTAATTCTTAAAAAGAGAAAATATTAATTTACTATGTAACAACTCGACGAAAAAGGAAACCTGTATTTCTGAAAAATATAACGACGTGGACGTGTCCCCACGCTCAATGCTCTCACTAAATACTAGAATCAAATAACAACTTAGTGCTGCTGTGTTTCGTATGGTAAGTGTAGAGAACTGGAGATCCTTTTTACTGGAAACAAGGCATTGCATCTTAGTACTCAAAGGTGACAACGCATCTGCATTTTGATACTTAATTGAGGATATATGTTGATTTCCAGGAGCCACAGCATCCACTCACCATCAGGTGGATGCGTGCTCATTTGTCATCCTTATACTTTGAATAAATCCATTGAAACAGCACTGTCGAGTCTTGAATATGAGAAAAGGCTTGTGCCCTGAAGTTGATCACACTCGTATATTATAGACTAATTGCAAAACCAGCAAGTGTTTTCCCATCTGTGTATACCAATTTGGATATCCTCATAGGGTGAGAAAACAAAATAGCATAAAAACGTTTTTCATAAAAATAAAAAACAATATATCTACCAAATTTCTTGGTTATCGGTTTATCTGTTAAACGGTGACGAAGCCAATTTTCTTTTTTTCCATCCAAGCTTTATACATTTTTGTTTATCTTCTTTTATGAAATCAGCTGTGACAAATATCTATAACATTACCCCAGCCTCCGTATATGGTAGGGTTTCGTTATACTAACAATTCTTGGCAGGCGGTTGCAGTGTTCAGTATTTTCACTCAAGTTATACTGCTGCCCATAACATGATTTTAATGTTTAAATCCAGCGAATGGAATGATTATCGCACTAATTAAATTAAAGAAAATGAGTGGAATATATGATACGGAGCTCATAACCCGAAAGAAGTTGAAGGAGGTAGGGGAAGAAGGTAGCGGTCGTGGTCGGATTTCCTTATGCTATAAGTCTATATATAAGATCGAGTATTTAGGATATGTAGGAAAAAAGACTGAGTTATCTCACAAATTTATTTAAATTAAAAAAGTAATCTATCTCTAGTGGTAGTAAGTTATCTTTCCTAACAATACTATGCGTCTCGCACATTGACGCTTGACAGGTCACCTTTGATTCTACTCTACATCGTCGATAGCTTATCTAAGACGATTACACATAATGGAACTCTGATTACAGTAGTAGTAATTTTTCACTTCTCTGGAAGGCAAAGAGATCTTTTTTTTTATAGAAGAGGGGGCAAACGATCATGCGGCTCACCTGATGTTAAGTGACTACCGCCGCCCATGATCAACCACAACACCAGGGGAATTGCAGGTACGTTGCCGGCCCTTTAGAAAGGAGTACGCTCTTTTCTTGAAGATCCCCAGGTCGTATCGGTCCGGAAAAATCGCTGTTGGTAAACTATTCCACAGAGAGGTTGTACGCGGAAGAAAACTCCTCTTGAAACGTACAGTGGTGGACCTCCAAGCATCCAGATGGTGTGGATGGTATCGGGACGTTTGCCGCGTAGTGCGTTCACGAAATTTGGCGGCTGGGATTAATCCGAACAATTCCTCAGAGCACTCTCCATGGTATATGCGAAAGAAAATGCAAAGAGATGCAACATCTATTGCAGTGAGTGAATCGAGCCGATCGGAAAGCACTCGGTCGTCGACGATTCGAGCCGCTCTGCGCTGGATGCGGTCAAGTGGAAGGAGCTGGTACTGGGGAGCCCCAGCCCAGAGATGGGAACAGTATTCCATGTACGGCCGAACCTGCGCCTTGTAAAGTTGCAGGCGGTGTGCCGGCATGAAATACTGTCCCGCTCTGCTGAGCACGCCAAGCTTTTTAGAGGCCAATTTGGCCTTCTCTTCCAAGTGACCACGAAACTGCATGTCATTCGATATGTCGACGCCGAGGATTCCGATACTGGCTGAGGCAACAAGGGGAGTGCCTTGAAACTGAGGAGATACGACAAAGGGGTTCTTTTTAGCGGTTAACGCGCAAACTTGTGTCTTCTGGGGGTTAAACTGGACTAGATTTAGTCACTTCCAATCCGAGACTATGTTCAGCAAAGACTCGACTTCAGACACAAGTTTGTCCCGGCACTCGGAGACGTTTTCCCGAGAAATATTGGCTCGGCCGGTGTAAAGAGCATCACCAGTTCTGTCATCTGCATAGCAATGAATGTTACGGGTTTGCAACATATCATTGATATGCAGAAGAAACAGCGTTGGCGATAGCACGCAGCCTTGTGGAACACCAGCCTTAATAGGCTTGCAATCGGGCTTGCACTCACAACGACCTTGATGCTCCGATCTGCAAGAAAGCTGGTGATCCAATTGCACAATTTCTCGGGAAGCCCATAGGAAGGGAGCTTCGAAAGAAGCGCTTTGTGCCAAACCCGATCGAAGGCCTTCGCAATGTCCAAACTAACGGCCAATGCCTCCCCCTTGGACTCTACTGCCTCCGCCCATCTGTGAGTTAGGTAGACCAGAAGATCACCAGCTGACCCACCACGGCGAAAACCGTATTGGCGGTCACTAATCAGCTGGTGATCCTCAAGGTACCTCATGAGCTGGCAGTTTACAATGGACTCCATTGTTTTGGAGAACAAGGAGGTGATGGCGATAGGCCGTTAGTTGGACAGGTCTGAGCGGTCGCCTTTTTTAGGGATCGGGTGGACGAAAGCCGTCTTCCATGATTTTGGGACTACGTCTAGGGAGTAGGAGTACCGGAAAAGACGCGTTAAAACCGCTGCCAACTCTGGAGCACACGTCCTCAGCACAATTGGGGGGGATTCCGTCAGGCCCACTCGACTTGTGGATGTCCAGGGAGAGGAGTGCTTTGCGAACCGAGCGCTGTGTGAACTGCACTTCCGGCATGGAGCACTCACACCGCGGGATGGTCGGCGGCGTACTCCCTCCGTCATCGAGAGTCGCCTTGGACGCAAAGAAAGAGCCTAGAAGATCGGCTTTCTCCTTTGCGATATGGGCCAGTGAGTCGTCCTCCCTGTGCAGAGATGGAAAAGATGGCTGACCGAAATTCCCCTGGACAGCCTTGGCGAGAGACCAGAATGCACGGGTTCCAGAAGGAAGGCGAACTAGTTTCTCGCCAATTCTGCCTATGTGCTCTGACTTTGCCTTGGCAATGACTCATTTGAAGGACCTAGAGGCGGAATTATACTTCTTTTTTAGAGCGCTGGTGTTTACATCCCGGGACGCTGATGCGTCAGCCCAGGCTTGGTAGCACTCCTGCTTATAGCATGATGCTATTTTACAGGAGCGACCAAACCATGGCTGAGATTTGCCTCCAATGGGCACCACA